TTACCGTCCCGAGGACCCCAGCCTGGAAGTCTACACCTTCCTACGTGGCTTAGACCAACTGTTGTGGATTTCATTGACTGATGCCAAGTTTTTGTTTGACCGCCGCTAGCTTTTTTCCAGCCTGACCCTATATCCGCTAACATTGCTCGTCGAGGGAGGCGATGGCTTGGCATACGTAACACATGTCCTAACCATCTCAGTCTTTGTAGCTTCACGACTTCGTCGATTGATTTCCCCTGTTTACCTAGAACTCTACGCCTAACCTCCATGTTGCTCACCTTATTATGCCACTTTACACGGGAAATAGAACGCAGGCACCTATGATCAAAGACAGCTAGTCTTTTCATGTCTTCCACTCTCAGTGGCCAGGTCTCACAACCATAAAGGAGGACGGAGCGGACTGATGAGCAGTACACCCGCCCTTTGGTCGATAGTCGAACATCTCGTCTACGCCAGAGTCGGCGTAAACTAACAAATGCGAAACGAGCCCCTTGTATTCGTGCTGAGATTTCGTCAGAGATCAGCCCGTTGGGGCTGATGGTACTTCCCAAATAAGTGAAGCGGTCAACGTGCTCTACCACTTCACTTCCTATTTTTAAACTAGGCGTCGATGTAGTCCAGTCCTGTAACATCATCTTGCATTTGGCGGGAGCGAATCGCATGCCAAACATTCGTAGATTGCGGCTCAAGGTGTTTAGAAGACTCTGCATTTCGTCAGCGTCTTCGCCTAGAAGGACTATATCGTCTGCATATTCCAAGTCAACGAGATTATTCCCCGGTAGCAAGTCAATCCCTGAGTCGCTGAAGTCACCTAGGGTTAAGTCCATTAACACATCTATGATGAAGTTGAATAGAAAAGGAGATAATGGGCATCCTTGACGGACACCACTGGTCGTCATCAGTTCAGATGACAGCTCGCCGTAAGCCCTCACCTGGCTGTATGAGTACGAATAGAGTGCCTTAATCAGTGCAATATATTTTCTTGGAATTCCCTTTACAGCCAAGCATCTCCAGAGAACTTCCCGATCGACAGAGTCGAATGCTGCCTTTAGGTCAAGAAATATAATGACTGTTGGACGCCGGTAGGAATGCCTATGTTCTAGAATCTGTCGGAGGGTGAAGATATGATCAATACACCCTCTTCCTGGTCTAAAGCCTGCCTGGCTCTCTCGTGTTTGTGCTTCCCGAGCACCACTCAGTCTACGCATGATTATTGAGCCTAAGACTTTAGATACTATATTAGTCAAGCTAATCCCTCTGTGATTATCACAGGAAGACTTGTCTCCCTTCTTGTATATGGGGATAATCAGTGACTTACACCAACCCGATGGGACTTCTTCTGATTCCCAGACGCTGCCTAGTACCTCAGTTAATCCGGACAGTAAGCTGTCTCCACCGTACTTAAATACCTCTGGAGTCATTCCATCAGGTCCCGCTGCTTTGCCTAGTTTCAGATTGGTGACAGCTTTAGTAACCTCAGTTAGTGACGGAGGACCTGTGTTCATATCCCATTCAGGGAGGTGTTGGATGCTCGGAAGGTTGAGCGTGGCTGTGGGCAAATTAAACTGCTCCTCATAATGCTCTTTCCAACGATCCAGTCGTCTATCCTGTGAGCTAATTATAGTGCCATTTTTTTCCGAGATTGTCTCACTAATGATTTGTCTTCTCCCACCCGTTTCCCTGATGAGTCCAAAGAGTTGCCTGGTGTTGCCTATCCTCAAAGCTTTCTCCATCTCTTTGGCTTTTGTCGCCCACCACTGTTCACGGTCCTTGCGGAGACTTTTCGTAAGTTTCCTCTTGTGCAGCTTTCGCTCCTCATTGAATTCGGAGCTCGCCGGAATAAGTCTTCTAGCATCTATCAGTTCGGATGAGGCGGTGGAGATCCAGTGGTTTTTACTCACCTTTGGGTTTACCTTATTCACAGCTTTTACAGCTGTATCTATGGCTGCCTGGATATTTTTCCAAGCTTCTTCAGGGTGAGCACAGCTGTCGAACACAGATATGTGTTTAGCTAGTTCTTCCTGAAATACGGATTTAGTTTCCTGATCGAGCTGGGGACGTGATGGTTTTACCGCCAGCTGTTTCCTACGTCCGTTCAGTCGTAAGCACACCCGAGCGCGGACCAGTGCATGGTCGGTATCTACGCACGTGTTCCAGAAGGAGCGACAATCTCCTACCGACCCACGCCAACGATAGCTTATTGCTATGTGGTCTATTTGTGTCCAGCGTTGGTTTGATGAAGGGGGTCTCCAAGTCAAACAGTGTCTCTCCTTGTGTTTAAAGTTAGTGCTTACAAGAAACAAATGATTATCAGAGCAGAACTGTAGGAGACGGTCACCGTTGTCGGTTCGCTGGCACGGAGCTCCATAGGTGCCACCGACATCCTTCTCAGATTGACACAATTTCCCTACTTGAGCGTTAAAGTCACCAGCTAGAACGACTATGTCTGAGCGTTTAGCCTTTCCACCAAACTAGACAGCTTTTGGTAGAACTCATCCTTCGTTTCATCTGAACTGCAGTCAGTGGGGGCGTAGGCGGAGATTACGAAAAGGCATCGGCGAGTAGTGCAGTCCTTCCTCCTTCTTACTGATCCGTTCAGGCGGACAGCACACATTCGGCTATCTACCGGGATCCAGTCAAGCAATGTCTTTTCTGCCCTAGTACTCAAAGCTATCCCTACGCCAGCTAATCCTCGTGAACTAGCTGTGGCATCTCCTGACACCCTCAAGGTGAATTTTGCAGATTCAACCTGTTGGCCAGGTGGGGTTAGGTGAATAACCACACTTGGGTCTTGTATGCGTGTTTCTGAAACACAGCATACATCAATGGCTCGTGATGCCAGGGTCTTGGCTAGTGATGCTTGTTGTCCTATTTGGCAAAGTGTCCTAACATTAAGAGCTCCTATATGAAATTGGTGGCGCGGCTTTAAGAGGCTGTCGGTGGTGGTTTTTTGGCTTCCATCGTTTTTAGTGGACGCAGAGTGGAGAGCTATCAAGTCGAGGAGTTGCATCAGTGGAAGGAAGGCAAGATGATAGAGATGAAGATGAAGACAAAGATGAGTGAGTAATAGAGAGGTTTCGTGTGCATTTCGGATTGTGAGGGCGATTGTTACTTCCCGGCTGCCCACACCGTGGAAGTTGGTTGCGTGACCGCAGAGCCCAGGGGACAACTGCTTGAGGCCGGTCACACGCGGTCATCTTACATTTCGTGGGAGTGAATCGCATGCCAAACATTCGCAGATTGCTTGCTGCTCAGCTCAAGGTGTTCAGAAGACTCTTCATTTTGTCAGCGTCTTCACCTAGAAGGAATATATCAACGAGATTATTCCCTGATGGTAACAAGTCAATCCCTGAGTCTCTGAAGTAAGTTAGGGTTAATTCCACCAGTACATCTATGATGAAATTGAGTAGGAATGGGGATAGTGGGCATCCCCGACGGATACCAATAGTTGTCACCACTTCAGATGACAACTCGCTGTAGGCCCTCACCTGGCTGCATGAGTTCGAGTAGAGTGCAAAATGAAATGAGCAACAAATGTCGCTAAACAGTGCAATGAACAGCAACCAGATTTCTCCTACACATATGACGTTAGTAGTCTGTTGTATTGCTGTGTCTAACGTTTTACCAAATGATTTTAAAACAAACTCAACAGTACTAGCATGTCAGACAACTCTTTATAGCAGATAATTATCAAAATAGACAGCGTTTACATAATGTACACAACTTTAAGCAGAGTTTATTGCATGATATTTTCTCCTCGTACTGGATGTTCAAATAAAGTATTAATTGACAGATCCTGTGACACAATCCTCTCTGAGCTGAAGCACAAACCAACCCATTATGATATTTCTGCTTTGTCACCTTCGAGAAATCCATATTTGTTTGTAAGCCAATTATAAAAAGTTCAGGAGTACATCTTGAGATACAATGAAGTAACTCAAAAACATTTATTAAGTGTTTTGAGATACGCTGCCACCCACGATCAACCTTTTTCTGTAGTTTCGCAGAAACTTGTGAATCACCAGGTTATAAACAATTTAAATGCACCCAAGAGTAAACAAGACGACGAGAGGTCATTCTTGGATTGAACAAGAGAAGTTATATGGAATAAAGATATAAGTGTTTTCAGTAGCCCATGTTCTAAGCAGGCTGCCAGAAGGATACAATCAATGATTGAAACAAAGGTAATCACTTGTAAAATGCGCGCATCGAGAGAATTCCACTATTAAAATTCATAAGTTGCGCAATGGAATTTATGTGTGAGGAATAAGACTTAGTGAAATGTGTCCGTTTCTGTTTAACAAGAAGTCAATCAATATGTTATATGTAGATAAATCGCATAAAAGCTTATAAAATAATTACTTAGTACAAATCAGTATTCTATAAAATCAAAATAACTATAAAAGGTAAACGTCCTCAAGAGACCCACTAACACTAACAGAAGTCAAACGGTGAGTATTGCCCGAAGAAACTGGTATCAAGTATTCTTGCGAAGGAATTTATTGGAAATTTGTTCAAAAATTTTGACGAGTACATCAAATTCGTTACTTTAGACTACAAATCAGTAAATGCGAACTGAGCCAATATCAAAGTCCTCATGCATGAAAACATTTCTGTTACATTACAATAAAAAATTACTTCTGTCTTATTCCTTTTATGAGACATATTTAACTTAAGCGCCATAATAATGAAGAATGCAGTTGATGTATTTTCGCCTTAGTTATCTAGGTATACATATGAGTAAAACTTAGTCATAAATTAGAGGTTGAAATTTAATAAATGAACTTACGTAAACTAATACAACAGTTCTAGAAATAATAAACACTGAATGTTTTTCTCTAGAAATTGATATCTCAATTTTGCCGTAAATGAACATCCCTCAAAGCCCGGTGAACTTAGCAGAGATAAAGAGTAAAGTCAATAATTGAAGAATCTTATCAAAAAATTAAAATTTTTTCCCAACCATTCATTGTTTACTATAATTAAAACACATTGTATAAATCATAACTAGATATTTACTCACAAAAGCAATGTATATGAAAAGAAAAATAATAAATTGCAATGACGAAAATGGCGCTTCAGATAAAATGAAAGCAAAAGTTATTGAAATTAAAAAGAACCGGTGGTTTGAAGTTATTCAAATACACATTAGGTATATAAATATATATGTACATATAGACAGACAAAAACACATAATATTTGAAGTGATAGAACTATGACAACGGGGCAAGGAAATGGCACATAAATTATAGTTAATAAACAGCTGATACATGACCATCTTTATCAATGAACATTTCATAAGCAAGATATGAATTTTGAAAGAAGAAAAAAAAGTTGACAAATATTACGAAAGACATTGAGAAGCTACACTTGGAAAATATATAAATAATAAGATGTATATAGAATGATGACGGTTAAATGAAATAAACAGGCGCTTTAGAAAAGTGTGATCAAAACAGTCAAAGAACACTTTAAAATCTATGTGATAATCAGCATCGTCTGATTTTTCAACTGAAATTTCCACAGTACAAATGATTAGAGAATCTGGTTTTATGATGAAGCCATTAAAATTATCATAAAGATAAAGCAGAGTGTGCAAAAAGATTTGAAAATCACATGTGGTGTTGTATTTTTAAGATATCAATGTTTCACAAACACTTTATTCGAATCAACAAGGGGAATGATTTCGCACAATTAGGAAAGCTGTAACTTTAAGAGAGCATTGTAGAAAACACGAGCAAAGAAAATAAGAAAGGCAAAGTTATGAAGGAAGACATGGTACACCAACAAAAAACATCAAATTATCTCTTTAATGATTTTGAAATTAGGAAATTATAATATCAATAAAAGGTATTTGCTGCTTACACAACTTTTGAAAAGAAAATCACCTTAAATATACCGATTATAACCTATTTTGTTGAGAAAGACGCAGGTAGATATTACAATGTGATCTGGATTTGATGTTTCTCAAACAGACAGCCTAGATTCTGGTGCAGAGGATTCAGATTCGGCAACCATAGCGGCTGCGGCAGCCAATATAACTGCGGCACCAGTGACAGCATCCACATCATTTCCTGGTTTGCACAGTCGTTTATCATCAATGGTTTCTGGTTTTATTTCGGATTCCCTACTTGTATCAGCCGAATTAAATACTACATTTCGATAGGCTCTTTTAGCTGCATATCGCGGATGCTGATAAGCATTACTGCTATTTTGATACTGAGGTGCTTTCCAGTTTTGTGAATCGCTGGATATAACATGTGTCGACTGATGAGGCAGCCGACTGCTGTCCGCCTTACTTTCCATTATAAGGGGGTGTGATTCCGTGCAATGTTGTCGAAAGTGTTCACTTGAATGCGGACTTATAGTATCTGTTTCGACCGGAGGAGTATATGAAATTGAAACAGAACTATGAGAACAATCAGGTTTCGAGTCGTTTGGTTTTGTCAGACATGAGTGTGACGACAGTTCGTCTACAGACGATCGACTAACATGGGTAGCACCACAAGCTATATTTGGGGACGTCTCAGAACACTTCAAAGAATATGGACTCAACCATGTAGTTTGAGTTGAATATGGTGACAACTTAGGTGCAGTAAATACAGAACGTCGGCGATGTCGTATGGATCGCGTATGATCATTTAGCTGTTGGATATCTTCTCCAAAATCAGATGAAATTTGATTTACTTCTGAAGTTCTATCGCACATACTCCGATCGGTGTCCGAAGTAAATCGGGCAGTAGAATCTAATCCTGAAGATTCCGCAGTATCTCCACCAGAATAGCTGGCAGACACAGAAGTTACAGCAGCCAACACCGCAGCAGCGCATGCAGCTGTAGAGCTATTTAATCCCAAACCACATAACTCTTTGAAACAAAGTGCTTTTACTTTTTGGAGTTCTTCAATCAATTGTTGATTCTGACTTTCGAGGAGACTGACTCGAGCTTCCAAACATTTTACATATTCCTTCTTTTTTCTTCTACATTCCCTTGCAGCTTCTCTGGGACAGAAAAAGTAAGAATGACACTAAAGTGGCTGAATCAATACAAATAGTTCAAAGAAATAAACCACAATAATTACAGAACAAGGTCAAATGCTTATTTAGTTTGTTTGTAGTTTACAACAAACATCAAAATAAAAAACTATTCGAAGACCGATTGCTCAATGGTATTATAAATGCTAAAATTATGAACATTAGTAAAGTGATTTTTGAAGCCATATCTACAGACATGAGCAGCTTTAGTACATAACTAATAGTCCTAAGATTCTAGCTTGATAAGGCACGTTCTTTCATTTGATTTACTCTTCAATTAATCAACCATTAAACGATAAAAGCATAGTGCCTATTGTTATGTACTAGGTTTCCCCGTCGCCAAATTGTTATGTACTCGTCGCTAAATTATTGTTATGGACTGGTCGAGAAACTAATAGTCCTGACGCGAGAAGGCGGAAATCAGAAGACCACTAGGTTTGCGATGATACTTCTATTGTCCAAACACAAGGAGACGAAAATAAATGGTCTCACACCAAAGTGATAAGTAAGTAAAGTAGTTCACACAAATTGTGAATGCGAATATATATAAATAATTCAGACAAAGCGTGGGAAAAATCATTAGACAGTCTTAACATGAATGGCTAATTATAATGGAGTGTCGATCCAAATATACATAGCGAATATAGCAGACATGTGAACAACCATATATGGATATATGTCACCAAGCAACGGACTGTCAACAAACACTCATATTATATATAATATAATATAAGGAGAATATACATTGATAAAGGAGACAAGTTCATACCAGTGAAATGGTCACAGACTAAGCAAGCAAACAGAAAGAGACCAACATACACACACACATAAATATATATATGTGGATACATATCACCTATGAGCATGAATTTAGAAACCAATTGACAGCCATCATTTCGACATGACAGGCAGGTCTGCATACTCCAGAGATCTGCAATGGATGTTGCTACAAGTCATAGCATACCAGAAAGGTAGGCTGGATAGCAGTCAGACTAAAAGCAATTATTTTCACTGCCTAAATCCCTTGATCTATAGTGACTGACTGAAAACGAAGTCATACTGCTGCAGGAAAGTACTGTAACAGTAGCAAGGTTTTTTCTTTCGAGACGCAAGCAAGCGCACTATGCCACCTTTTTCTTCAGGGGAGAACAATTTGTAAAGGTCGTCCTAAAAAGAGAACATGCTAACTTAAGGAGTGGCGGTCTGCTTAGATCTCTGGACTACCTAATTTTCATTCGAGACAATTGTGCATAATACAGCTATTGTTACTGTCACCATTATTATTACGGTGGTTAGCAAATATGTACAGGTAGACACCAAGTATAAACCAATCACATGCTTCCACACGTATATGCAATTCCTCTGTTTATCGCCCACTTTCATTTGCTTACTTTCAAACTCGTTAATATTATTCTCGAGAAAGTTTCTTCACCTTTTCCTAACTCTTTGACTATAGTTAGTTAGCTCAGTCGACTTTTTTATTGAAGATAGCAGCATCCGGAAATTGTGCAAAAATTGAATAACAGACCTCATCAGTAACAAATAGGTCACACTGAGCTTTATACATGTGTTGTATCTCAGAGATACGCCAAAAGGACCCATTTGACAAATATGGTAAATTTACAAAACCCACCATAAGGATGGGTGGCTACGAAAGCTTTGTTCGCTTATGGGAGAGTGTGGGTGGTTGTTGCTTCTGGGCTGACCACATTGTGGAAGTTGATTTGCTTTCGGAGTGCTTAAAACAGGAGGAGCATTCGTGCTGCGTGACCGCACAGCCCAGGCAACAACTGATAGGATCCCATCTAGACCAGTTCATAGTAGTTTTAGGAGTTGTACCGATATCAAGATCACACTTCCGGCTAGGAACCGCCTCAAGGTAAGCTGGTGTGTACAATTTTTGGGATCAGCCTTTTCTAACCTCCCTTTCTAGATCGGAGAGGCAGACAAACTGGTAGGCTGGTTATCTGGAGGAAACACCTTACTGCCTTTATATGCCTATTCCCCAGCAGTCCGACTCTCTCCACAGACCTGCCACCATAATGGAAATAACTAACATGATATGACATTAAGGTAACTGCTTTTAGTCTAACCGCTATCCAAACGACCTGCAGGAAAACTAGTTCAAGCCAGGTGTAGCTTGTTCGGTTACTGAGATTTACAATCTCGATCACTACATCAAGGTAGCAGCTGTCGGTCGGGTCTCTGTCAAATGTAGGATGATCGTCTTCAAGGACGCCTAATTAAGGGATAGGCGACAAAGTAGTTAAATGTTATGAAGAATGTGATTTGGTTGGAAGAGAGTTACGGATAACCAAACCAAAACATGGCATGGTTTGAGTTACTTGAGGTGAAAATTGGCTGGCTAGGACCCACAAGATAGTCATAATCAATGGTTCAAGCCTTTTGCTCCACATGGCTCTAAATCGTTGACACTTGTGTGGATATATTCACTCAATTTTATTTTCAAGGCTGAAAATTCGTATCAATCACCTAGTTATTCTTCTTCATTCATTGCAGTTTCATTACATTGCTTTTATTTACCTTTACATGTCTTCTCAGAATTGGCATCAACTGGAACGGATACACGTTTGTGTGAAATTTTACGCATACCACGCACATTAACAAATAAGAAACACAGAACTCAAAAGTCGAGGTGAGTGAATAAAGGGACATTGTAGATACTCAAAAAATGGTTATAATGTTCAATTTCAAAATCATGGACTACAATTAAAATATAGGTGGACTACGTTTTAAAAAACACCATAAAACAACTGAACCAAATTGTTTTAAAACGAAGTAAGTGTGCGTTTGCATATCCAATAAAGCAATGATGCTTACCCGACATCTATGTAACACCGACCTTACTACACCTAGTTGGAAATGTTCCTGGAAGTACTACTCTGTCAGAAAGACTAGCTAGAAAGCGATAAGACTGAGAAAAATTACCACCATAAAGCAAACTGTCTACACTGATGGTGGAAAAGAGAGCGGTGCAGTAAAGTGTTTCGTTAGAGAGTACAGTTTTCCTGACTTTGAGAGGCAAGGTCAGAAAAGGCCGGTGCTAAGACTGTACAACCGGACTCATCCTACCGCTGTTCGAAACCAACACTGGAGTTTTTGGCGAAGTTAAACTTTCGACACCACTAACTACCAATCAGCGAATTATCTAATGAGATTCACGAACGATATCGAATTATCCAATGAGGTCCACGAACGCAGTTCAATGTTTTATAGCGTTTGATTCATTTCTAATGCGTGACCTTGCAAAGCTATTGTTGCAATTCGAGGAGGTTAGCGTTTTCCAGTGTTTCCTGGATTTGAGTTGCGCCGGAAAAAGGGAATCTGTTTGTGTGGTGGTATCACGACTTTAAAAAGCTATACCAAATCAACTGATGGGTTTGTTCATCGTTGTGCTGTATGTTTGAAGCTTACTAACGCTAGAGAGAGTAAGCTGATAATTTTAATATTTCGTAGGAACTTTTTTCGCTAGGTCGCTTCTCTCCCTAAGGATAGCAGATAGAAAGGCAACTACTCTTATACCTATTATTACCAGACTTGTTAAGCGGGAGTCAATTATACACACCGACGAGTGGAAAGGTTACAATTCACTGTCATCTCTGGGATATATTCATCATAGAGTTAACCATTCAAGTGATTTTGTGGATCCCGTTACGAGGACACATACAAATTCTATTGAAAGATTTTGGGGCAGGTTGAAAAATAGGATAAGGGATATAAATGGATCTCAAAAGGATCTCATTTATGGTCATTTGGATGAATATATGTACAGGATATGGTGTAACTTCTCCATTGGCAGTCCCATGCTAAACTGGGAGATGTTTCTCTCACATATTCGAGAAAGATATCCCATGTAACTTTTTTATTCTCTATTTTATGCTTTTTTCTACAAATATACATTTCCATTCATCATATATGCCTCTTTAATGTGACTGGTCAATTTAAGGTCGTTTGCTGATTGGTTGTTAATGGTGTCTAAAGTTTAACTTTGCCGAGTTTTTCATACAGACAAGAATCTATAAATAGTAACTCTATAAACAACAGTCTCAAAACAGGTCACATGCTGCCAACAAACACTCACAGGGCTTCGAGGTCAGGCAAAAAACTTCTTCTTCTCTCTTGATTGCTGCAGTTAGACGCTTATCCTACAGATATGCAATGTTAGAGTAACTTCCATCTTTGTCGAAACAATAAGGGATGTCACAGTTAACTTGACTTCCCATTACTACTGAAATGCTGAAGTCGTTTGGAATAATACTCTCACGTCTTAAGAGAAAGATGTTGGAAACACTTAATCTAGGAATATGTTAATCTATTTGATCAAAAAATTACTTTAGATAACTTCGTGACAGACGGTATTCAAAATATTACTAACGTAGCTATATGACTGAGAATTAAGACAGTTGGCATAACAAGGAAATACAATGAATACACTCACCTATTTTTCAAAAGACGTTGTTCTCGTTTGCGATTCGGTTCATCAGTTTTGAAATCGCATTCTGTGCCACAGTTAGTTCGCAGTGACCTACAGGAAACAGATGACCTGGAGGTAGCACCACTCGCGTCATCCATTGGTGGGTTTTTAACTCTACACTCAACATTGACTGGAGAGATATTTAGTTGTGGAGTTGCGGAATTTGATAGTGAAGAGCAGCTTAGTGGTGAGGTTGGAGGACAATTAGCTAAAGCAAGTTCGCTTGAAACTGATGTTGGCGTTGGAGAAAAATATCTTGGATTGCATTTATTGGAATTCTGATCGAAGGATGACTGAACACTTGAAGGATGGGCTAAATGTGAATCGTATTTAGGTGACGTTTTATAAAACGACTGAAAGTTTGCATCGTCATAACTTCCGTGGGAAACACTGGTAGGATTGCGAGAATGATCTGCATTTTCATCAGGATCTAGAGTTGATAAATAATGACGTGTAATTTTAGCTGGACCTTCTGAGTTCATGTCCATCAAGTAAGATTCACTTGAACGAATTTGTTGATCAACACAACGAAAACTGTCGCACAGAAACGAAGTGGGAATGGATGACTGGCGCATTAAAGGAAAGCCTTGTGTCTGAGATGCTATATCCTCAGGATACTCAGGAAGACCCAAATGCTGAAAATAAAGATGGACAAAGTTGATTATATAAGGAGAAAAAAATATCACAAAGCAACAAACTAGAGACAGAAAACTACACAACTCTATGCACATACATATCCACTGAGTTTCTGCATTATAGGAAACATAAAATAAGGAAGTTGGGAAAAATCCGCTCTCACTATATGAACAACTGAGAGAAAATGTAGCTCTAGTTTCAATTCATCAATTCAGACACTTGTAGAATCTGAACTCATACAGTTTCTGGTTCATGTAATCTAAGTTTAAACAATACGTAAGTTTGTCTACTGTTTGGAGTGAGATGGTTACGGCACCACTAATATTACAAATCAAACTCCCGCAACTAATGTGTCTTATATACGTGCATATTTTAAACAAAGAATTTCTACTTCTCAAGAAACGCGGACAACAACCACGAACACACTGAGGGAGTGGCTATCACGATGTCACCAGTGGCAGCTAAAGTTCTAACGCAGTGGAGAACAATTTCATCCAGGATCGTGACAGCGAGATTCAACTCCAAAGCAAGGGAGGTAACAATTATCAATGCTACACACACTGCTACAAACAACGCGGAACAGGAAAAGAAGGAGGATTTTTACAGACAACTACAAACACTAATGGACGACATACCAAATGGTGACATTAAAATCCTCATGGGCGATATGAATGCCAGTCTAACTGGGAGCAGATAATACAGGAAGACAACCCATCATGGGTCGAGAGGCCTTCGCTCAGAGAAATGAATGAGAATGGAGAATTTTAGCAGACTTCAGTGCTTTCAACGATTTGGTGATCAGAGGGAGCGTGTACAAACACAAGGATATGCACAAAGCAACATGGATTTCGCCTGACGAACACACCACAAACCAGATAGATTTCTTCTCAATCTGAAGGAAATGGAGACGCAGCTTGCTAGATACAAAGTAGAGAAAGGGAAGCAGATGTGGGCTCAGACTATCATCTAGTTCTAGGAACCTTCAAGGTGAAGCTGAAATCCTTCAGAACAACTGAAGACAGGCCACTGCATTTTAAGTTCAACATTCAGAAACTTAAGGACAAAACTACAAATGATACCTTCACCACATATCAGATCAGAGCAAAGTCGGACACACTACGTAGCATCACTGAGGAAACCTGTGTGGAAGAACATTGGAACTGACTCTCTGAAAGCGATATTCAAGGAAACGTGTACAACTGTTCTAGGAAGAAGCAAGAGACGAGACAAGGAATGACTGTCAACGGATACCTGGAAGCTAATCGAGGAGAGGAGGATAGTGAAAGAGGGGATGACTCATTGCAAAGATGCTCAACAGAAGGAGACGCTGAATTCAATGTACACCGCACTGAGTATAGCATTGAAGAAGAGTGCTAGAAAAGACAAACGACAATTCTATGACACACTGGCTGGAAACTGAAGCAGAACAGGCAGGGCCCGAGCAAAAGAAACATCAGGCGACTATATCAGATGACCAAGTCTCTATCCAGGAAGAGATCAACCCAAATGAAACCAATGAAAGATGCTCAAGGGAACCTAATCACCAAGGAGGAGAAACAAATCAAACAATGGACTGACCACTTTAAAGGACTCTTGAGTCGACCACCACCGGAAACTCGCCCAGAAATACCACCACCACCAACAGCACACACGGAAATGTCCGTCAGTTGACGACTCCTCCAACGAGAGAAGAAATCCTGAATGTGAGCAATCTACTGAAGTACAGTCGGGAAGGCAGCAGGAACAGACGGCATTCATCCTGAAGCACTGAAGATGGCCCAGAGATTACGGCAGATGTTCTCACTCCATTACTGCAAAACGTTTGCAAAGAAGGAAACGTGCCCACTGATTGGAAGAAACGCTGACTACCTCGTCAAACTGCTAAAGAAGGGCGACTTAAGCCTGTACAAGAACTAGCGTGCAATCATGCCCTTGTCCACACCAAGTAAAATACTAAGTCACATCATCCTGGAGAGAATAAAGGATCCACTGCATACAGAACTCCACACCTCATAGGAACAAGCTGGATTTAGGAAAGGTAATCATGTGCTGATCAAATTGTCACTCTACGCATCGTCATCACAGAACAAAGCATAGAATGGCAGTCAAATCTCACTCCACCTCAACTGCATCGACTTCGGAAAGGCCTTCGACAGACAGTGTTGACCGAGAAGTAATTTGGAGACTACTTCAATACTACGGCGTGCAGTCCCCACGTCTTTGACAACCTCATTCAGCAGCTAGCTATATGACTGATAGAATTCAGTCTGAAACAAAGAAAGGACTAGACAAGTCACACTAGTTACTAATGTCCAATCAGACAATGCCACGTGTCAGTCAGGTGATCCACAACGGAAAACTCAGCGAGGCGTTTGAAGTGCATACAGGAGTAAGACAAGGTTGGCTGCCTATTATCACCGATGATATTCTTAATTGTGGTGGACTGGACTATGTTTCAGACTGTGTGTCGGGAATGAGAAGACAGGAGTACGCCGGACCACAATGAGAAGACTCTAGAAAATCTGGATTTCGCGCGCAGATGATATATGTCTGATGTTACTCAAACTCGAAGACTTGTAGGCGAAAACCAACAAACTGGCCGAAGAGGCAGCGAAAGCAGGACTGCAGGTGAACACAGACAAGATGGAGGTGATGAAGATCAACCAATCAACAACAACAACAACAACAACAACAACACAGCACAAATCACCATCAACGGAGAAATTTAACAGAGGTTACCTCCTTCACTTATCTGGGAAGCATCGTTTCAACTAAAGGCGGAACGGACGAAGGTATCAAAGTCAGAATCCGAAAGGTAAGATACGCCTTCATCCACCAACCTGAAACCAGTTTGGGAATCTTCTGCACTCAGCCAGCATAAGAAACAAGATTCACATTTTCAACACCAATGTCAAGTTGGTTCTTATATATGGGTCAGAAACCTGCACTGCATATCATGAAAAGGATTTCCAACAGGTTGCAGACTTTCATCAACAGCTGCCTTCGCTGGCTCCATACTGAGGATCAAATAGTCAGAAAGAATAAGCAACAAGAAACTATGGGAACAAACCAACCAAGAGCCGACCGCTCAACAAATATGTAGGAGAAAGTGGAGATGGATCGGGCATACATTGAGGAGGCCGCTGAATGACATTGCACGCCAGGCCCTTGAGTTGAATCCGAATGGGAAGAGACGAGTGAGTCGTCAGTGGGAGGGTGACATGGAGGAGGTCGTGTGAGGAAGAGATAAGAGTTAGGTCAATCGTGGACACAGCTGAGGAGGACGCAGAAGATAGGACAAAGTGGAGATGTGTTGTTAAAGTCCTATGTTCCACTCGGAATGCAAAGAAATATTAATAATAACAATTCAGTGGAATAAATCAAATGGAATTCGAGAAGTTGGTAGGACAATAAAACACCTTCTATTGTTATTCAAGTATTGGTTAGTAGGGATTTGGTTGATTGGTTACAGGATTTCATCATGAGCTGCCATCAGTTAGAGAAGCATTGGAAACCCTGGGAGTACTGCACGGCTAATTCTTCCTAGTTTGGGAACTCTTCATCAGTGGATGCGTACTTATGAGAAGTCCCAAACTAGAACGAAACAGCTCCCCAGTACCCCCAGGTTTCTTAATGGTTCTTTCTCTAACCAATGCCAGCTCATGATGAAATCCTGTAACTTTTTATTGTTATTCATATGAAACTTAATATTTAACTGATATTACTATATCTATGATAAATCATTGTTCTTAAAATGAAAATGTTTTGATTATTATGGTCTTCAGACTAAAGCGAGAATTCTGAAGTCGAACTCAAATACCGTTTTTATGGTTACAAAGTCCCACTCCATCAAATAAAAAAACTGTATTCACTAGGGTTGCATGATTCCGTGACACTGAGACAGTAGATATTTGCTTGATTAAGTATAACTGATTATGAATTCCTGCAACATTTTAAATCTCAAAGTACACAATTTTCATGCCCAGGAAAACATAAGTGATTCATTCATTATAAATGTCACTAAACTCATATTCAACTTGGAGAGTATCACTTTCACTGTAGTGGTCATACTACTTCCTTCCCTACTGTAAGATACAATTTTAAATTTTGACTTAAACACTAAACTGAAAGCGTTTAATTTGAACTGTAAGTATGAGATATCACTAGAATTACACTTTTTGTGCACTAGTGCATCTTTTCCAGTGTTTTTTGAAACTGGTGCATGAGATTTTACACAGTCTGAGCTATTTGATTTTAGCAAGTGCAGATATTAAATACATGACTATCATCTCCCAAGATGGGTTCAAGATGTCTACGACTTGTTTTTTTGTCAGTTTAATTCCGCGTGACTGCTTTACTAAAAGTTATTTGCTCCTAATCACAGACTTTTGATATATGTTTAGGCACTCTAAAGTAAGCCCTTTCGTCGTTATTCGAATGCATATGCTTTGGCAGCTACACACAAATCGATGCACACAGTTGCAGGCAACAAACGAATGGTATATTATGCCTTTTGAATGGACTAAGGAATATGCTGTTTGACACACAGAAATCAATCCAGCCCCAGCGTACATCCTAGCCCAGTGATTTCTTAAATCGTCTGTTGGTTATTTCTGAGATTTCTCTAATTTGAATTTTAGTTGAATGAATACAGGTTTTTCTTTGTCGCCAAGGTATTCTTTAGTTTTCACTTTTCCTAAATATATCGATAAATCTTTGAGGATATTCACTGTCTCACAGCACCTTTCTATGATCCGCAGCTTCTCCTGCAGCTTGTAGCTGCAACATACCATTTTCCTCCAGTGAAATAATATTTTGGTTACGGCACGGTTGCAGTTAATCGGACAGAAACTGTTGAAATTCAGGCAACTTCCAGTTCGTGTACGTTTTTTGGTCGATGTATCTTTGCAATATGCCACCTATTCTGCGCTCAACGGTAATTTTCAGGAAGTTGAGTTCTCCGTCATCTTCATACTCCGAGGTAAAATTATTGTTTTCC